AAAAAAAAAAAAAAAAAAAAAAAAAAAAAAAAAAACTAAACATATCTTTATTTGAAGGATGATCCTCGATATTCCAACTGAACATCCATTTGAAGAAGATCTGGCTTGGAAATATTTTCGTGATACATTAAAAGGCTTAGAATACTGTAAGTTAGTCAAATTTAACTCAATTTCTTCTTCTTTTTTTCCTAGTCTTCAACAAAAAGAAAAAAAGAAGAAAACACATTAAAAGCATCAAAAAAACAAACAAAAAGGATGTAAAAAATATATTTATTGTCAGTAATAAGAAAAACAAAAGCACCAAAACAGTGAGAAGGTTACTACCTATTTTGTAGATGCCATAAAAGTAAATTGATTCTTCTAACAGATTTAATGGTTAAAAAGAATATCCAAAAAAAGAAAGATTTTATTTTTTAAGCATTGAACTTCTTCAGACAGTCACTCTAATTCAACCAATTTCAAAGTCCTAAACACCGCTTATCATCTCATTTAATGTGTTAAGTTGACTTATTCAATTGTCCTTTTTGTGTTTTCACAACAGCTGCGGAATTTCTTTTAGCTGAATAAAGTACAACCAACTGACCGAAAATTTGGTTAAGTAGCATCTGTAAAAAAAGCAAAAAATTTTTTGCTTTTTTTTTGCATAAAGATTAGCGCATAGTGATTACTAAAAAGATCAACTATTTTTAAAGTATACTGATAAGACTAGTCTAGAAAAAAAAAAAAAAAACAAGAAAGGGCGATAAGAAATTACCACTTTTGCAGTCTATCTACGTCAAAGTATTTTTTTTTTGAAAACAAATTTAAAATTTGAGTACAGAAGAAAAGAAAGTAAAGAATACGTTTTAAAAACATAATTATACCTCAAATGTTAGTCGCTGTTTCTTCTCTGATTGCTTTAACCGTTAGATGGGAGACGAACGAGTGCCAGTTGGCATATTGCCAATTGCCAGCGAGCAGAGGATGGCAATTTGATCAGTGGATTTTGCTGAAAGCTTTAGAGAGAACATTCGTTGTCATCAGTTTCACCGATTTTTACTTATTGTCAATTGCTGCCCACTGACGTCAGTACACTAAACTGGCAATTTTTGTTTTCAGTCTTTTTTTTTCTTCACGGAAAGGAAAATTAAATCAAAATAAGCTGGATAAATTGGTCGTCAACAAAAAAAAACATCGTCAAAAATGTTTAGTCTAGTAGCATAGACAAAAGCTGTAATTAGAGTCTTCTATTAATGCTTATTTGCTTCTCCTTTTCTTTTTTTCTGCTTTGTGTTTCTGTTTCTGTTTTATTTTGTTCTTTTCGTCATCACTGTAGTCAACAAACGAGGAAACTAGAAAACAGAATTCCACCATCACTGAAAGCTAACAGTGTAAAAAGGAATTGCTCATCTGCCTTTTGTTTTCTACTTTTTTTTTATTAAGCTTTTTTGCACGTTAACGATGAATTTAGTTTAATGGATTTCCACCACTTTTTTTTGCAGCTATATTTTAAAGTGAAATCAACTTTTGCCATCTCTTTTCTTCCCCCTTTTTCTTCATTCTCCTTATTTAAAGTGTACATTTTTGACTCATCAAACAAAAAAAAAAAAAAAAAAAAA